ACCACGATGCGATGGTTTATTTCAGCACTTTGTCGTTGTGGAATGATGTAAACATGTAGCTACTATAAGCGCCTCTGTATGGTACTCACGGACCACGCCCATACGCAATTCAGCACAACGACGCTGCGAGTTATGGGTTATTCTCCTACTTTACTTTTCTTTACCTTTACCCTTGGGGAAGGCACAGGTACTTACCCCTTGGTCTATAGGATGTTCTGACATTGGATGTATTTTAGTTTTTAATGTGCTGATAAATTTTTTTTTTAAATTCAATTTAATTCAACATTACATTTATTTCTCTTTTTTCATGTACAGCTTTAAATTAAAAAGGTAAATATTAATTTCAGAAGAGAGGCAAAAACCCAAAAAGCAAAAGCTTGTGAAGGGCTGCCTGAATAAAAAAAATAAAAAACAAAAACAAAACAAAAAAGAAAAAAAATAGTCAATAACATGCAGGGATATTCAGTAAAAATATTAAACTTAAATAAAATGAATACCGTTAGAAAATATCAGTGATAAAATATTTAACTAGGGATAAAAATGAACTTAATTTAGTTTCAGAATTCATGGCTGTATGTAGATATTAGATACTTTTTTAGATTTATCGAGAACAAATTTGTTGATAGGGATTTAATTAAATTGGTAGGTAGACTGTTGCAAAGTTTGGGCTGAATATTGTGTTGAAAATACAACGTTTTGTGTAAGAGATGTATTTTGTTTACGGTTCATGTATTATGACACCTAAGAATACAGAAAAGTACATTGTTGTAAGCGGTTAATAGCATATATTTTCAAAAGGGAATGAGAAGTAAACAGTGAGTTGAAATGGGCTTGTGGAGGTGCATTGGCAATAAGCCTAACATTTTTTTTTGCAAAAGGAGGAGTTTATTTATGTAGGAAGGGTAGGTGTTTCCACAGGTGATAATATTACAATATTTAAGATAAGGAAGAATTAGGGAACAGTAAATAGTACATAAAATTGTTTGGGGAATAAAGGATGAAAGTCTGTAAATAATGCCGCAACTTTTAGATAAAGGCCACACAAATTTGTCTTTGTTTTATATCTTGAGAGGTTTTTCCATATTTTTATTTTTAGACAATAATCTATTCTTGAATGCAGTGGAAAGTAGTTATTGTAAAGCTTTTACATGAACATGCATACAGCACACATTAATTTAGAATCTTATTAACATAGCAATTAAACATACTAATGAGATGTGTTTGTAGTCAACCAGTACAGTAATTCTCTATTGATTGTGTGTGCTTTGTACTAAACTGTTTACACTGTGAGCACTGCAGTATTTTTATGATCCCGATGGTGTTTATATGCCTCAACATTTTCATGAGCCTCTGTACATATGTGACTGTTCTTTCAATAAAGCATTGGGCATATTTTTTGCATGTGAAGACGATCATCATTATCATCAGAATAAGACAAAAAAAAAAATCAATCAAGAACAACTGATAATGAATGCAAGTGTGAGAATGGTTAACATGCAGTAGCAACCAAGTGTATTTGATCTTTTGAAGTAGTTTTAACAGAACAAGTCTACTGTATGTGTGTGTCTCACAAACACAAGTTTATGCTCTAATTTTGTGGGGCCTTTGCGACAATATCCAATGGGCAGTGAATACTCCTTATCTGCACTGTTCACTTTTTCAGTTACAACAGTAGACCCCTGTTGGCAAATTTCTGGAGTCACTACTGAATTTAGTGTAGGAGGTGGGTATTATAGACTTATTAGGTTTAGTAAACTATTTTTCAGGGTACTAGGCAGTGCTGTAGGAGACTGTAGACTTTCTAAGGTAGAGTACTGCAGATAGGTGCTAGCTAACATGAACAGTACTGTAGGTGTACTTGCACAATACATTCTATCATGCGATACATTTTCCAATCAGGATTGGGAATATCAGGATAATTACATTTTCAACAGTTATAAGAAATATGAATTATGCTGCCCACCAAAATCATGGCCTGGAGTGATCCTCGTAGGATTGACTTGGGACGGATGTGTGGTCCTTATTTTTGTAAAACTTCATATGCGCTCTATTCGAAACATGTGTGTTCTTATGTGACCTCCGACCTGTCAAGTTACCTGTTCACCACCCTCCCATGTGTTAACAACAGCTCATGTTTTGTAGCTGCCTCCAGTACAAAGTGGAATTGGTGGAATCTGTTTATAAGATAGATGTAGCAACGTTTATGCAAACCTTGATTGGCAATTATTTTATGTAACCAATCCCTGAGTTTTAAAATAATTGGAAATCAGTGACTAGCAATGCTGTGTTATATTTGTCTAACTTTAAATCAAATAAAAATGAATATTTAATTGATTAGCATGAAGTTTTTTTCTTAAAATTTATGTACTTGTATACGGATGATGTCTATAAGAGATAAACGAACCAAGTTTCTGGCTAGACTTTATAATATTACTCATTTATATTTATGGCACTAATCTCAAAAATGATTATGTTGATATTAGTTTCCACTCTTACAGCCGGCGAAGGTTAATGACTTGTTGTAGAACTAGTATAGTGTCGTGGTTTGTTTACAGTTTTTTTTTAATGAATTAGTTATTGAATGTTTGACAATTAATAGTACAATATTAACTGCCTGATGGGATTCATTAATTTGAAACTGTACCAAATAAAAGTGCAGAGATACAATATTAATGCAAACATCAATGTAAAAGCATAATTACTTGCACCAGATGTTAACTCTAGTGTACGTAATGTAGGCCAGGCCAATTGGAAAAGTACATTAGGTCATGGCCGAGGAATATGCAAAACTTGTGGCCTAGAAATACAGTATATTTGGGTATTAAAAGTCATTGGTTCTTGCTAATTCCAGCATATTATGTTTTTTGCAAGGGCGGGAAATATGCACAATTGTGGCCTAGATATTTATGTGGGTCTTCTTTTAATATACCACCAACTATATTATTATTACACAGATGTTTTATAATTATGCACCTATTCTTAGTTAGTCATGTTGTCCGCAATTTCTTAATGTATTCCATCAAAAGATAAATTACAATATGGTATGCATACATGCTATTTATTATACTTTCATTCAAACTATATCACTCCTCCAATCAAAGAACACCTCAGGATTTTTACATTTTAAACATAAATGAATTGATGGCAGGCCTGTAAACCAGGAGCACTGATAGTTTGGAAGAAAGCAGTTGGTTGGTTCATTGTGTAGTCCAGGCTGTGGCAGCGCTAGGATTTCCCAACAGCAGAAAAAGAGTTGTACTCAGGCAAAATGCGTCATCCGAGGGTAGGGTTTTGGAGGGAGATCCCCCTCCCCAAGGAGAAACTTCTTTAAAATAATATTGCTAAATGCTCATACAGGTCATATTGACCTAAGAAAAAGGTGTTTGATAATGCTAAGTCAATCATAAAAGTCATTAATAACCTGTCAAAATGTCATTTTATAGGCCTATCCAATTCGGGCCAACTTTTGATATAAACATTGTAAAATATATAAAAATTCCCCCCCCCCTTTCCCCCTCCCCACCATTAGGCCTGTCTCTTATACACATCTAGATGTGCATGTTGAGCTGCCACTGGTTCCAGGAAAAAGAGAAGCATATAGGGAATTTAATCATCAATTGCATTGATTTAACAGCGGGGGTGGTTAGATTCAGAAGATGAGGGTCGCTTTCAGCTTTGATGTTGACCTACTGTAAATTGTATTACCTTTTGACCACAACTGGTGTGAGAACATGTTGAATGCAACCGATCTCTCTTGAATTTGCATTTGTACAGAATAATTTATTCAGATTGTAATTAACATTTGTTCATTATTCATTTGAACAAGTATTAAATGTTGTTATAAGATTAAGAGATTTCCTGGTTTATTGTTGCACAAAAGTTCAACACTATTCATACTAAACTGGTTCAATTCACCTGGCCCTCTGCAGTGAAGCATAATCTACTAAAATACAGGAAATATTATCAATTCTTTATCTTATTTTTTAATCTTGTATCA